TGGCATCAAGCTATAGGGTTTGGTTAGGGCACTTGGAACCAAGAGGTGTTGGAAGCTTTCAGCATTCAAATTGATCCCTGCCTTTCAGGAGGAGGACTGAATTATGCTTCTATCAATAAGTAATGGTCTTGGAGAAGCTTGTTTAACTTAAAGATCAAGCGAGAGCTGGAGAGGAGAAATCTAATTTTACAGCAATGAGAAATGGGATGGCCAGGGCTTGGGCAAAGCTACTGACACGGTTACAGAGCCGGATGCTAACAGGGGCATTAAGTGTAGGTATGGATAAGGAAGAGTCTCAGGCCATGGAGGACTGACCAGATGCTGTCTCTGCAGTTCCAGCGCAGCTGATTCTCAGCTTAAGCTGGCTGCAGAGGGATCCCATGCAGATGATGTGCCACGTTTGTCATTCGAATGAAAAGACCTTAATTTTCTGATGGAAGGCACTGAGCAGTACAGTACAACACATTATCCCTAGCGAACAATAAAGCCCACATTTTAAGTTTGGCACAGGACGCTTTCACAACTGCCTGTATGAATATGTGAATGCATTCAAATACATTCAAATGCATTCAAATACTCTCAATACATCCCAGTGAGTTCTCCCCCTTTGCATGAATGTTCACAATCCTGTACAGGAACAAACACGCTGTTGTACTGAGGTGCTTCTGCTCCTGGAACTGACTGCAGGCTTCACTACAGTGTGACTCCAGCTCCAACTGGCAAAGGGTTGCTGAAACAGCAGTCGCTTTTGGGGACTGAGCCTCTGTGGAGTTGTTTTGATTGGGGTGTTTTGAACCAGAAGCTGGTGTTGGAGAAGTGATCTGGCTGCTCTGTGAGGCTGTAAGCAATGTGTGCCAGGCTGGGCCTGCCCTGGGGTGATTTGTGAATATTTTGTGTTGGCATCATTATCAGGATGTTTATACGTATTTCTTCACTTTGGTGTGTCTGGGAAAAGTCAGGAAAATAACAGACAGCTGCAAACAGCAGCCAGGGGCAACGCCAGGAGCACCAGTGCTGCTCTTGCTCCTGTCCAAGCTGTACGGCAGAAACCTTTGTGCATCTGCAATGGAGGAGAACAAGGGACGGTGCAGGAGAGGAGGTGGGGCAACACAGAGAAAAGGGTGTCCCAATGTCACAGTCACATAAGGCCATCCAAGCTGTGCCTGGAGGTAAGCACTGCTGCTTTCAGATTGCTCTGAACTTCTGTGCTGAGCTTTGATCCTGTGGCAGAGGAGCCGATGCCAGCAGCTTATGCAGAGTCAAGAGGAAGCAGCTGTTGATATGAGCATTGAAAATACCTAAAGCAGGGACACAGCATGATAGCCACACTTTGGAGATGTGAAGCTCTGTGCCACAAGTCACTGCTTGCTCTCAGGGAGCATTTCTCAGCCCCCCCAGGCAAAGCTCTTTGGGTACCAGGTGGCCCCACACCAGCCATGCCCCACATGTCTCTGGGTCTGCAAACAGGATGTGCCCACACCATCCTACAGTTTGGCTTTAAGAGAAACTCTGTGCTTTTACATCTAGCCTGCAGCCTTCGTGGGAAACACAGAACCACAAGCCCGAACTCTCTGCATTGTGCAGTTGTTGGTGGTTTCTCATTTCTTCTGCCTTGCTTGTCTTTCTTATTTACCCTTTATTTAGGGTATGTTTAGTATTTAGTGTTACAACAAACGTCATTGCTCTTTGCTCCTGCACGTGGGGACCAAGCCTTTTCTGCCTCCTTTCAGCGGTGCTCCCTGCCAGGGGATTTCCTGCAGTAACACAGCCTTCTTTCTTCCTCATCCGACTCCTGTGTGTCGCTTCTCCAGAGTTTTGCATGAAATGGATTTTATTTCAGCACAGCTTTTCAGCCCAGGCCCTCCAGCTTGTTCCTGCAACCTCTGTACATGTATTTGGGATTTTCCAGCATCACAGAGCCTCTCGAGGGCAATAACACTCCCCATTAAACCCCGGAGCAGCTCTGGAAGCTAGCTCCATTCGTCCTTCTGATGGCAGAATGTGGAAAGTGAGCACTCCAAGGGCACTCATAACACTCTTCAGAGGGAGTTTTACTGATAAAGCTTATAGACTTATCTACATCTTGCATGGGCAGACTGTTGCAGCATGTTACCAGTGAGAGGAAGTCCTGAAAGCAGACTACTGCCAGCCAGCACCCAGATCTTATCCCCAGCGCTGCTGGCAGAGGAGGGCATCTGGAGGTGTTGCGTTTGGGTTACTGAAACAAGAGCATGACGGTGTGCCCTGGGTCGGGGCTAGAAGTGCTGCTGGAAGCTCTGCTGGGAGGATCCTGGTGGCCTGGAGGCGTCAATATGACCTTGGGACAGCAACAGGAGCCCTGGATCTGGGGCTGCTGGGTCTGGGGAAGGCCAAGGGATGGGGTTTGTCACAGGGTGTGTCTGAGTGCACCTGCAGGTCTGCAGATATGGGGACCGCCGGCCCTGGTGGGGCAACGCAGAACTGCATCAGTGCGGGCGGTGGCCATCACAGCAGACAGGCGGCTGTGCGGTGCTCCCCGCACACAGGGCAGCCCAGGTGCTCCGGGAGCACTTCTTGTGCAGCACCTCGATTCATCCTGTTTTCATCACCACTTCCCTGCTGCGCGTCTGCAAGTTTTGGCTTGTTTTAGGCTTTATCTTTTTTTTCTTTCTTTTTTTTTTTTTTTTTTTTTTCTTCTCCTATTGCCTTTTCTTATGCTTCTCCTTTATTAGCAGCTCTGCCAGCATCTCCTGCGGAGGCAGATCGCGGCACGCCGGCGCTTCTCGTTTCCCCCAGCACGCAAGGAGCGCTGCCTGCCGCCAGCGCTCGGCTCATAGCGGTGAGCTCCCGCTCACGTTTTCCTTCCTTTACCCGCTCCCTCCGGGCATCTTCCTGATCTCCCCCCAGCCCCCATAACCGGGGACACAGGACACAAGGGCAGCCATACGCTGCGGGGCGGAGCGATCCTTCTGCCCGGCCCGGCCCGCCCCCCCCCCGGCCCCCCCGCTCACCCCGGGGGTGGTGCTTTACTTCGCTCCCGCCGCCCGGCTGCTCCCGCCGCGATGGCCCGCCGCTGCCCGGAGCCCGACAGGTGAGCGGGACCCGGCGCCCCACGGACCCGGAGATGGGTCCTCCCGCCCCGCGGCCCCTCCCCAGCATCCCTCGTTCCCCCCCCAGCCGGCCGTGCGTCCTCCCGCCGTCCCCACCCCCCACCCGCACCTCTCCGACCCTCCCGCGCCCTCAATCCTTTCCCAACAACACCCCCTCCACCCCCCAGACCGATCTCCCAGCCCCTCCCAATTCCCACCTGCATCCCTCCCGATCCCCCCCGGTACCCCAACCCCTCCCCCCCTCGCAGCACGCTCCCCTTCTCCGTCTTCCACCTCCATCCCCCAGCATCCTCCGTCTCCTTCACCCCCCCTCCCAGCACCATCCCCACCCATTTCGTCCCACCACTCTCCATCTCCCCATTCGCTGCACCCCAATAACGTCTCCCTCCCCCTTGCTGGCTCAGGTCCAAGCCCAAGGTCGTCCTTCCCACCCTTCCAGGAAGCCCCCAGGAACGTGAGGTGCAGGATCCCGGCCTTACACCTGCTCCCCGTACCCCCCTTCTCAGACCAGGGCCCGGCCATGCTGCTGCCCGCCATCCCCAGCATCATCTCCTCCAGCAGACAAAAGCGCTCAGTGAGCCAACAGCGTTCCCGCTCTGCATTGCTGCTCCATGTCACCATTCCACATCCCTGCTCCCCGCAGTGGGGTTTTGCCCCCGACCCCATTCTCCAGCAGCCCTTCTGTACCCTGGCCGTTTCCCAAGCTGGCAGCAGCTGTGTGACGGCGCTGGGAGGAGAGTGTTTATCTTCTCCCTGCAAAACGTGGTTAAGCTGTTATGCTTTCCTTTGGGGAGGGCTGAGCAACAGAAGCGCGCAGCTCTCACGTGACACGAGACAAGGCTGCAACTGCATTTCTTCCCCGGAGTAATTCCGTAATTAATTGATCGTGAGACAAAATCTGTTACAGTAGGGCTGGTTTTGTTTTGCTTTTCCCACTCTTTTCTTCTTCTTCAACACATGTTTTTTCAGCTGATGAGGAGTGCAAAGCAGGGCTTTCAGCCAACTGCAGGCAAACCTTGTTTAGCGAGGCAGCACTTAGCGAAGCTGCACAGCGTTTTCCCAGCCTTGCAGATGCTCTCAGTGTAGTTTTTGCAAGATGCAAGTGTGATCACAATTCCCATTCCAGCAGAACTCTCGCCCAGACTCCTCATCCAACTGCAGCATCTCCGTTTTGCTCACATTTCTTTGCCTTCTCCCTTCCTTGCTTCTCAACCTGAAGTTGTAAAGGTTATTTTCTTGCTGCTGGGAAGGCAGACGTGCTGGGTGTTTGCTTCTGATTGCAAAGTGAAGCACAGATGGATGTCACCTGCTGGCTCACTGATGGTTATTCTGGGATGACTTTCTGGAGCTCCATGGAAAGGTTTCCACATCTGGTCCTTAAAATTTGGAAATAGTAAATCTCCTTTCTCAGGAGAGAAAGGGCAATGAAGATATGCCTGGGTTTGCTATGGGCCACCAGCAGGTGGTCAGATGGGAGCCATTTGCCACTTCTGGGTCATCAGGTCTGTCTGAGCTTCGTACTTTGCTGAAGAAGATGAATAATGTTTGCATCCTGCTGCTCTTCCATGCCTGAACATGGAGCAAAGGCCTGAAAACCACCAAGGACTGTTGATTAGTCTCCTGTTCGTGCTCACTTCTTTCATTTCCTGAGAGAAAAAGGGGCTGGGGATCAAGGCTTGACCTCATGGAAACCCCTCTGTCAGAGCCAGGTGTCCCCAGCACTGTGACAAGGGCAAGAGCTGAAGTCCATGAGCAGCATATTTAAGAAAATACATTTTTAAGCACCACCCCCTGTCATTACTATTCAACTTGCCTTAAAACCTGCTTGCTTTCCTCACATTCTTTGGCTTGGATGAAAAAGTGGTGAAGGATTGCCAGGTCTTCTCATGCATTTCCCATTTTGTCTTCCAGTGGAATCGAATCCCTCTCTGCAGATGAGCACGGTACAGTAACTTTGAGAAATACAGGGCTTCCATGGGCTGGGTGTTAGAAATTCCCATTCTCCAGATTGAAAAGCACCATTTTATGACTACTGCCTATAAAAAAGTCAATATGCAATCCTTTAATTTCGTGGGTAGGATCTTTGAGACATTATACTTAGTTTTGAAATTCATATTCCTTTGTTACTTATTCGTTCCCTGTTATCTGCATAGTGCAAAAATGCCAGGAGAGGAATTGGCCTTGCATTGACAGTTCAGTAGGTGACTGCCAAACCTCTGTGCATCCACACTGGAGCGCTCAGTGAGCACCACCAGCAGTGCTGGTCCTGCCAGAGACCTTGTGCAGAAAATTCAGTGTGTGATCATAGAGAGAGGGCTTTTGTTCTGCTAGATATGTAATGCCTGCTCTGAATGCTGAGGTGTGTGTGCTGAGGTTGGGATCCCTGGGGCGGGATGGAGGACAGGGGATGCTGGTCCTTGGCGTGTCTCTGCAGTTCTTCTTGGCTGGCAGTTACAGAATCACAGAATAATTAGGATTGGAAAAGACCATCTAAGATGATCAAGTCCACCCATCAACCTGTCACCACCATACCCACTAACCATTGTCCCTCATTGCCACTTCTTACAGTGACGATGTGGGGCTGGGAGGGGTGGCTGGCACACCAGTGAGACCTGGACAGGCTGTAAGTTGGGTGGGGAGGAACCTGATGGGGCTCAACAAGTGCAAGTGTAGAGTCCTACAGCTGGGGAGGAACAGCTGCTCGCATCAGTACAGGCTAGGGGCTGAACTGCTGGAAAGGAGCTCTGCAAAGGTGTGCCCTCATGGCTAAGAAAGCTGATGGTGTCCTGGGTGCATTACAAAGAGTGGGACCAGCTGGTTAAGGGAGGTTCTCCCCTTTGCTCTGATGTGGCCACATCTGGGGCTGTTGAAAACCCACCTGGATGCATTCCTGTGCAGCCTGCTGTGGGGAACGTGCTGCAGCAGGGAGGCTGGACTTGATGATTCCCAGAGGTCCTTTCCAGCCCCTCTGATTCCATGATTCCGTAATGTCAGCCTGGTTTTCTTTCCATTTTTTCATGTCCATTGGGTTTCAGGAGCTGTGGATTGCTATGCTCAACCTGGTGGGTGCATGGGTCGGCGTCCATCTGTCTGTTCCTCCTCCTCCCTCCAATCCTTGCAGCCCTCTGCTCTCACACTGCAAGGCTGCATACCCTCTGTGCCTTTGCACAGCCTTGCAGACCAGCCCAGCTGCACTTTGATTCAGAGCAATACAAGCTGCTGTATTTTTGGTGCTCAAGGAAGTGGTGGAGGTTGTCACACAGACGGCAGTGGCTCAGTCAGCTCTTTCTGCACAGAGCCTGCATAAAAAGTGACGTTGGAGGCGAGGGAGCTTTGACTGTATGTGCACAGAAGTTCCTTTTTTTCATGCATGTGTAACCCCTGGCTGTTTTTTTGCAGAATTGGAGACCTCTTGTGAGGAGAGCACGGGCTGTGCGGAGGAGCTGCCAGCAGGTGAGCAGCTGTGGGACCAGAAACCTCCTACCCCCTCCTGAGCATGACTTTGAGATTTGTAAGAAGACTTTTATTAGAAGTGTGCATGGCACATCCACAGCCCGGGATCACAGCACGGTTGTACACACCTGTAGGTGCCTCTCCCACAGGAAACCATAGAATTTGGCTGGCTGAAATGTGGGGGTGCAGGGACCTCCAGGACAGCCTCAGGTTGTTGGGGACATCATACGTCAATTGAGCATCACACACACCTTCAAAGGTTCTGAGCGACCCCAGATCTCTGATGCTGATCTCTGCTGCCTGAGCACGGCTCACTGCTTTTCCTGCTGTGTCATGTTACCTAACACCCACCAGATTAATGCATTTAAACTTCTAAATGCATCTCTTACTTACTCTTGGCACTGCTTTCTTTAATTCTTCCTGTCGTTCAGGAGAGGGCAGCTCCGGCAGTGGCTCTGGCAGCCCCAGCAGCAGCTCCAGCAGCAGCTCAGAAGATGACTCAGGTGGGCATTATATTGCAGTTTACTTATTTTCTCTCTTTTGAAAATGTAAATTCAGTTTAAAACCACTTTTTTTTTTTAATTTTATCCTTCCCTCTTTGGGAGTAGTCTCCAAGTTATTGTACAGAACTGTTAAGCCAGTGACTGAATGTTGAAAAGCAGAATGGTATTTATGTGAGTGCATCATTTCATAGTCACTCAGTGCTGAGCTTTGCAGTAATGGGGGTCAGCAGCTCGTGTGGCATTGGCCTCACGCACACAATGCGGGCAGATGTTTGTACACCACAGCCGTTGTCCACAGAGGCTATAAATCTGCTGAACAGTTGGCAGCAAAAGTGGCAAAACAGGATGGACGGGGAAAGAATTGAAGGAAGCGTTTGTTATTGGCGAGGAGGCTGTGGGTTTCCACTTGTGTGGGTTATACCACGAGCAGCTTGTTTATCCTGCTTTCACCCAACATCGATCGTCTTTACTCAATAATGAGAAAGCTTTTTTCTCATCAGATACAGAGGAGTCGGACACAAGGCGGTCAGGTGAGTGTGCTGCTCTTTCTGTCCCATATCCTCTCTGGGAGACGTCTGGGAGCCGATAGGGATGAGGGCTTTGCACCAGGATGCACGAGGGCATGCAGCAGTGATGGGTGCCGGCACAGCCGGTGACCTCTGCCCCTCAGGGCACAAACTCGTGCAGAGAGCACTGTTGTGCAGGCAGAGCGCATGCGTGGTACGAATGGATGCGTGTAGAACACTGGTAATTAATTAACAGCGCTGCCAGCGCGAGCCTGTGCTGCTCAGCCCTGCTTCCTCTCTTGCACAGCACTCAGAGCAATCCCAGCTGCTGCTCCATGCCCAAAATAGCATTGCTCCAGGCTGCGATCCAGCTCACTGGTGTTTCCATGATATTTTCCAGGCGCTTCCCATAGATAACAATGGATTGTCCACCTCTGTCCCATCTGCCTACCTGGGAGGTGCTGATATAGCAGGCTGGTTGAGCAGCCTTTCTGCAGGGACCACATTTGCTGGGTGCTTTTTGTATTTCATAATGCCTCATGGCAGGAGCTGTGCCCGTTAGTTTTGCGCAATTCAACCCTTCAGGCCAAAAACTTTTCCCCTGTATCTCGGCTCTGCTTGCTTGCTTGCTTTTGTGTTGGGGTTTGCTGAGTGTGCTGCTGTAGCATGGATCCCTTCTCAATGAGGTGGTGCACAGCTTCCATTCAGTGTTTGGAGTTGGTGCTGGGAACGGTGAGACCATCCTGGGGATAGGTCCTCCCCCACCTTGAAAAATTCCCAGTACTGTGGGCAAGTTGTGAGAGTGATGAGCTTTCAACAAATCCTGTATCCAGGTGCCCAGCTTCATGCCCAGGCTGTGTGGAGCTGGCACAGAATTGAAGCCTTGAGAATACTCTCCTTAGTATTCCTTTGTTAAAGCAGGGGAATGGAATGGGTGGGCTGTCCATGCAGAGTGTGCTGCCTGCAGGCTATGGGGTGTATTTGCTGCACAGTGCACCGCTGCACAGCCCCGTGGGCAGAAGCAGTGCAAACACTGCAAATCCCATAAAGCTGGGATGGGCAGAGCCTGGAGCAGAGACAGCCATCCCCATTCTGTCCTCATTGTCCTTTCCCTTGTGTAAAAGCCACAGGTGGCCCTTCTCAGTGAGATCTTTTGCTATTAACAAGTATTAACGAGAACTTTTAACACTTCTTTATGCAGATGAAGAGCAAGAAAAGAAAGAATCGCAGCCAGTTCGCAGTGAATCAGATGGTAAGAGAACTCTGAAGGTGTTGCTTTTTTTTTTCCCTGAGCATTTAATTACTTTGGTTTTAATGAGCTGATTTTCCTGTTTTCTCACTAGGAGCGGACTGTCTGCCCCACTGTGAGCACTGCAGAAAGGAAAATGTAGGTTTAGAAAAAGAAACCCACACGTTTTGCATGAGAGAACCTGCAAATTGTAATGCTACTTTCTCACCAGCTTCTTAAATATGTATTATTATTTTATCTGTTTATATAGGCCCAGAGGGAGCAAGTGACCCCTAGGAAGCTTTCTGGAGGACAATATTTGTATGTTTGGCTTTTTTCATGGTATACATTTATGTTTAATGGGTATGCATTTATGGTGTGCTGATCAAGATACTTCTCCCTTCCAATTAAATGGGGAAAAAAATTGCTGCGCAAATACATTTATAGCAGTGAAAAAAGATGCCCCAAATCTTGAAAAATAAGCGGTTTACGCCAGCTGCCTGTAGATCCTTGTCTGACAGCTCTCACGGTGGCTTCCTCTGCATCTCGTTGCAATAGTTAATAATTGTAAGCGATTACAACGTCAATCATGCAGTGCAACGTGGGTCTGTCCGGGCAGGATGAAGCTGGATGCAGAAGGCACATACGAGTGCAGTGTCACCGGTCTGATTTTTGAGGTGAACAAGGCGGTCACCATCAACTACTCCCTGCTGTCCTGGAGCAAATACGCCGGGCTGGTAAAGGCGCCGTGGGTGGTGGGCGGCCCGCTGTTCGACGTGCGCTGCGAGGCGCCCTCCGCCCTCACCTCCATCTCCTTCCCGCACTCCCTCTGCCTCGGCGGTAAGTGCTGTGATGGAGCTGGGCAGGCTGGAGCAGGCTGCAGTGCTGACGGTGCCGTCACTGTCCCCGCAGATGGTGGCTCCCAGCCGGCCTTCAAGGTGCTGCACATCAAGGGTGCAGGTGCGGCCATGGAGCCGTCCACGGACTTCTCGGCCTCACACGTGCGGTGGCTGGTCAGCTCGCTGTCCCCCGTCGGGCCGCTCATCCGCGGTGAGGAGCCCCTGCTCTACCACGGAGCTGTCATCCTCTACAAGGCCATCGATGACGACCCCTCCTTGCTGTTCCGGGTCTACGTGGCGACGAACAACGACTCCTTCATCAAGGTTGGGTTTGCCGTGGCAGGTGTTCTCTCACTGTAAGCTGAATGTGAAGGGAAGGGTTTGATATGTGAGCAACTGTTTGTTCACATGGCGCCATGACAAGTATGAAAAATGAAAATTTGCCACCGAAACTGGGAAGAGGTTCTTCACCACAGGTCAGTGGGATTGGAACGGGCTTCCTAGCAGCGGGCACGGCCTGAAGCTGCTGGAACTCAAGGAGCTTTTGGACACTGGCCTTAAATAGAGGGTTTGGGTTTGTGTGGTCATATGCAGAGCCAGAAGTTGGACTCGATTATCCTTGTGAGTCCAAGGGATATTCTTGGAAAACTCACAGAGCTCAGGACTTGCACCACTTGTATCTCAGCAGTCCCCTCATAGACCAGCATGGGAAGGGACAGCAGCTAATAACACTTGCTTCCATTTGGGTTGTGAAGCCCTTCTGATTTCACTAATGTAGCATAATTCTCTGTCTTTTAGGGAATCTTCACTATGCCCACAAGTAATGTGTTCAATATGGAGCATTTTGTAAGGTTTGCTGTGTGGCATTTTGTAGGGATGGGTGCAGAAGGACACAAGGAGCTGTGAGGAGCAACGTGGGTTGTAAATATAAGGTCCCTTAGTGACAGGAATAATATATCATGTTTTTAAAATTTCAGGATATATCAAGAGCAGTAAAACATTCCAAAAAGAAATTCATTAAAATTGACAAGCCCCCTGTGTGCCAGAAATTATTACAGAAGGGAAAGAGATACAGATTAATTTGTGAACCAGAAGCTGAAATAACTCCAGAGGTAAGTTCTCCATGTAAGCATCAATTGATACATCACTGATTGGAAACATGACAGAAAATACTTTCCCTTTCCTGCTGAGTGCAAGGCATGCACTGGCTGTAAGGGCAGTTTTCAGAATTCATTTGCCATCTCTGTAGAAAGCATTTGCCTCTTAGAGACCTAAAGCTTGGGGATGAAATCCTGACACTGTTGAAGTCAATGGCAAAACATTGGGTAGACCAGAGTTTGGTCTGCATCCGCATGCCTCCTGTTTAATTTATGTTTGGATGAAAGTCTGTCTTAAAAATATTGCTGTTTTACAGGAAATTGAATTTGTTGATGGATCTCTTTTGAAGCTGAAAAGTTACATTGAAGTCTATTTTGAGAAACCTGATGACTTCACCTTATCTTTGGTTGAACTGGACTCGGATGCAGTTGTGTGGAAAGCAAAACTCAGAGAAAGTAAGCATGTTGTGATTTGGATAGCAGTTTGTTCCAGCTGAAAAGAAGCATGAGCCGGGATGTAGTGCTGCCTGTAGATGAAATTCATTAAATACCTTCACAGCAATGGGGATCCTGTGGTTCCTACTTCACCCTTTGTTTCTCTTTGAAAACTGTTTTCCAGGTGACTGGATACATTATGATCAGAACAAAAATGAGCAAACAAGAGTTCCAAGCAGTAAGTGAATTTGAAGTTGATTCAGATTGTATTGTTTTCTGCGAGCCCTGCTTGCTGTTGTTGCTCAAGTGATCTGCAAGTGAAATGAATAAATTAACATCAATTCTGCTTTGCTCCTTAGGCGTCAAAAGGCGGAAATCAACCAACAGCTTTTCTGAAGAAGAGAAACACTGTAGCAAAAAGCAAAGGCCTAACAGTTATACAGGTAAGCATCTCTGTATCATTTAAAATGCCAAGTCTGGGAATAAAGCAAAAATACCCATGTAGGTATTTACTGATGGTGCATGTAGCCACCAGAGGGAGAGCTTTCATCATTCAGAGCTTCAGTTTGTGAGTGGATGGTGACCGAGGAAAGGAAAAGTGCTCGGTCCACGTAACCTTGCAGTTACTCAGGAGTTGGTGTCTTTATGAGCCTTCAGAGTTCTTCAGGTGATTTTCTGCAGTGCTTGGCTGCAGTTAATCCAGTTTTGACTGCCTGGCTAATAAGATCCCCACTGTTCTATGTCCCCTGCACAGCATCAATAGCGTCATTAAATTGAAAGTCTAATCAGATGAGCAATATTAGATCTGATTTTTGTTTTATGTCTTTTCAGATGGAATTAAAAGCAGAAGCTTGCTAACTGATCGACAGCTGATGGTAATTGCAAAGTTGTTTGGCGTGGAGTGGAAAGAAATTGCCATTGAATGTCTTCAGATGGAAATGAAAGACATTCAGCAGATTCAAGCAAACGAAGAGGCAGTCAATATCCAGAAATTTCTGATGTTAAGCAAGTGGAGAGAAAGAGAGCAAAGCAATGGAACTGCACAAGCCTTGTGCAATAGGCTCCGTGAAAAAGTGTCATATGAAATAGTGCAGGCACTGGAAGGTATCAGCTTATTGTATTTGTGCAATTACATCGCTGAGTTTCAGATGTGTTTTAAGAGGACACGCCAGAGAGCTCACTAAATACCCAGTATGCATTTTCTTGTGTAACTCAAAATTGTTTCCCTTCTAATATTGATGACAATTTTCTTTCTTGTGACATTTTCCTACTTCCCTTCAGAAAATGATATTATATTATAAAATGAGTAATGTTTTTCTCCTGCCTACGTTCAGCATACTTGGCCATGACCTAATCCTCTTGACCTAATGGGACCTAGGGCTAATGGGCATTATATACTCAAGGACTAATGGGCATTAGATGCTCAATGCTCAAATTCTTGGTATTTGTGAGGGAGTCGAAAGAAAAAAATAAGAACTCCAAAGAAATAATAACAAACAAATTCTGGCTTTGGAACTAGCAGAGCTTTGCTCCCACTTCACTCTCCATAAAAGGAACCTGGCTTCAAAATGAGGATCACTGCTGACATTCCCTCACTCATCTGACCCTTGAGACATGTCTTTTGCCATGGCCCTGCACTGCTGTAGCTTTTTATGAACTTGTCATCCAATACTGTAATGACCTCTAGAGATGAAATAATATCTATGTGTTTGTGCGTGCTCATTTCCCCAGGCTTTTTGGCTGAGTGATGAGTTGGAGAAGCTGATGAGAAGCTCAGGAACTTTCCCCACCCAATGGTTAAACTTTTCAAGCTATTTTCCTGGGATTTCATTGTGATGAAGATCCAAATCGTAATCAGTCAGCGGAAAGTTTAGAGTGTCTTCAACAGAAATGTGAATGAAATTTTGCACCTACGCAAGTGTAAGTAGCATTTTGGGAATCATTACTCACACGTTTGGATACCAGTCATTGCAGCTGGATGGAAGTGCCAGGCTTGATGTGCCCAAAACTGAAAGCTGCCACTGAATCTTGTCGTGTTTGAGCCAGTCGTAAAAGACAACGAGCACTGGGAGAAATGGGTTTACCTTTGTCAGGTATATGACTGTTATCTTGAAACATTTTTATTTGAATCAGGGAAAGACAAGGGAGAAAAGTTGTATCAAAACTTTCATCCCCTTAAAATAATGAAACTCACAATCATGAGGTACATTGTATTGCTCAGAGGTGCCTGGGATCAGGGACAAACTCCTTAAATTCCTTTGCAGAATCACTGTTTGTACACAACCACTGTACGTATCCCCATGCACTCATGTTGAGCTGTGGTTCTGTTTTCTTAAACCCGAAGACCACTTTCACAGTAGCACCATTAAGAACTGCAGGCAGCTTTGAATCTTCTGTGGGATTTTCTTCTCTCTGTACAGTCTGTCTCAATTTTTATGAGATTTTTTTTTTTATGTTGTATGATTATTTTTTTTTGTACTATGAACTTTTTATACTTTTTTTACGTGATTCATTTTAACTTGAATATAAGGGGGGGCTTAAGCTAAAATAGAGAAAATCAGAGTCTCCAAGATGGTTGTTATCCTGAGGGCAGGACCTGTCGCACACAGTTGTAAAAGATATGAAAATAATATTACTTGCTAAACAGAATGATGGCCAGACAGTGTCCTGTTTGCAGACGTGATTCTTTTCATCATCTCCTGCTGTGTATGTTTATGGAAAAACAAACAAACAGACATACTTTTAAATATAAGGATTAAAAAGAGAACATTTTGGCTATTTATGTGTAATTTTTAATATGCTTTTTTTTGTTGTTTAAATTGTAGCTCTGTGCTGAGATACAGCTGTCTGCTGCTTGTACGTCACAAGCCATATTCTCACCCCTTTGTGCTCCTCTCCTTGGTCAAATGGTGTTTCTGGTCAGGCCTTTTCCTGGGGATCCCTTGTGCATCCCTTGTGGGCTCTTCTGCTGCTGTAGGATTTAGGGGACACGCAGTGGGACACAGGAACAGCTTGTGGAGCTGCCCTTGGCTCTTCTCTCTGAGGCAAGCAAAGGAGAATTGCCATCAGGGACACAGGGTGCCTTGCCCAGGGGAGCTGGGTGGTTGGTGGGGACAACCAGCCCACAGCATGGGGTTGGAACAGCATGGGCTTTAGGGTCCCTTCCAACCTAAGCCATCCTCCCTGCAGCAGCCGGGGCGATGCCAGTGTCCCCATCTCTCCAAGCAGATTCCTGCTGGTCAGTGGTTCTTCTCATTGCTGCTGAAGTTTTCACTTCTCTTACAACATTTCAAGTCAGCTGCTGCTTTCTCTCTGCTTTTGTGGTGAGAGACCCTGTATAAGCAAGCAGAGCAGTGGTGAGCTTGGAAAAGGGAGTGGGAGGGTGCTTGTCTCAGCATCTCTCCCTGGGTTTTCAACTGAAGCTCAGTTTTTGTTTCAAAATGACAGGGGGTTCTCTCTGTATGCTAAGAAGTTAATAAACAGCTGTCGTTCTCCATGTGCAACAGCAGGCACCAATAATAAAAAAGCAGGTGACATTATGCAGTTTTGCCCTATTGAAGATTGAAACAATTTATCTCATAAAAGAGAGCATGAGGGGGATACATTTCCCAGAATATCAGTGCTAGTTTTACCACAAGCCAGTGGTTCTAGTGCGTGCAGATAGTAATTCACAACACCAAATGCCTTTGTTGGAGGGTGTGATGCCTTACCTTTGTAAGCTCACTACCCAATTAGCTAATTTCTTCTCAATTATGGCACTGAGAGCAGGGATGTTTGCGTATCCTCAGTGGTTATTTCTTAGATAGGTTCTTAAATATGAATCTCTCCAAACACACAACATCAAGTGGGTTTGCAAGAAGAGAGGAAGACTTTCCCTGCAATGGAAGAGATGGAGGGGAAAGGCTGTGCCCAGCTGCCTGCCTGGCACAGCAGGGATCAGATAGTAGCTGTGGAGCATGGAGGTAAGTTGTCATCAACAAGGTTTTGTCGTCTGCACTCCCAATTTCAGCCTGTAGTTTTGATGTGGCTCCAGCAACAAACAAACAAAAAATAGTTCTAAAGGGGCACGTATTGCAAAGCTGGCTGATTTTGCTTCCTAACTGAAACCTTTTGCTCTCAAAATGTGCGTGTTAGGCAGCACCTGGCAACTTGAACACACCTGATACAAAACCCCCCTGGAGAGTCAGAGCCACAAGGAGCACAGCTGTGAGGAACGAGGAAAATGGGAGTTCTAAATATGACCCCAGTGCTGAGTGGTGTCACGGTCCTCTGCTTATTTGAGAGCAGGCTGGGGATTGGGAAATGTTTCTTCTATGAAGAGTTCAGAACTGTGGGGATATGGCACTGAGAGATATGGGCATGGTAGGGTGGGCTGGGGTTGCGCTGGGGTTCTGAGAGCCTTTTTCCAACCATAATGATTCTGTGAATACATTAGCAGTCTGATCAATGAGATTCTGTCCTGTTCATAGGATAGAATATATTGCATTCCTTGAGGTGTGTGATATCTCAAGGAACAACAAAAAAAAGGTCACTGCAGCTTTTATGTCAACTTCAATTTTATTAGGCAATAAATAGAATAAATAAGGAGCACCATCATAAATAAACCAGGATTATTATAAATATCCGATTCAGGAGCTTACAATTGAATGAATAAAACTCTGAAGACAAATAACAGCTGAGCATTTGGTGGTCTGAGAAATACAGCCTATTGTCCCCGTGCTTAGAAGTTGGAGGCTCTAGCTCCGAAGGCACCGACAGCAGAACGTGGTTTATCAGTAACTGTACAGCAGGGCGGCCGTGCTGCTGCGTTTCCTTCTTATGTCTCTGCAGTGAGGGCACTCAGGTAGCCCAGCATCCTGCTGATGGTGACGGCACGCAGGCAGAAGGCGTGCAGGACCCCGCAGAGCCGCATGCGGCCCTGGAAGGAGCCAAGGATGGTGCTGGGCGAGGGCTGCGGCGCGGCCGGGCTGCGGGGCTGCAGGACCTGCAGAGGGGAGGGAGGTCAGTGGAGGGACAAACAAGCTCTTAACATTTTCCAGCTTTACTCTTAGGAAAACCAGTATCAACCTGCCAAACTCCCAGCTCCCCGGTGACTGCACAACGCAACGCTGCTCCTAAAACCCCATTAAAGATGGAAGGAACAAGATGGAAGTGCTTACTTGCATCATGTCGTCAATGGATGTCAGCACCCTCAGATCCTTGAGGTTCCTCAGCTCTGCCTTGTAGGTTTTCAGATCTTCGTAGATCCCCCGCAGGCATTTGCTCTGCAAAAGTCAGGATTAATAAGAGATGCTGGAACTTGTTGCCAAGTGCTAGAAGTGCTAAACAAAGGTTCTCTATAGAGGCTCACAGCTTACCGTATCTAAAGTAGAACTTTCCAGTACTGGACAGTTTCCAGCCTGCAAATAAATTAAAGAAGAAGTGATCATTTCATTTAGTGACAACGTGTTATACGGCTGCTGGAGAAAATATGATGCTGAAAGCTGGCTGTTTTGGTTTTACCCCTGGATCCTCAGATGTGCAGGATTTTATTGTGTTGATTTGGCTGTTGGTGACATCTTCAAGATCAACCTCTTCAAGGGTGCATTCAAATCCCAGCACTCCCTGTTTCTGTGTTAAAAAGGGGGGAAAAGGGGTAAATGATTCAGCTTCAGAAAACAGCAATTAGAGAGTCTCGAAATCACTGAATGTTTGTGCTGAATATAAAGCACTAGAAAGTGAAAAAAAGAAAATACAGAGGCAGTGCTCACTGATACCCTGCAACTTTGGGAAACTCTTTAGTGGTTTTCTTTCGTGCTTCTCTGAGATGAAGCTTGCAACTCTAACAGGGGACTTTGGCAGAAATTCTCATCTTGATGGGGATTTAGGGGCAGAAGGGCTCTGTAACAGCAAAGCCAGAGCACCAGCATGCAAATGCAACGAGCTTGGGAGCAGGTGTCTGCAGAGGCGTTAGAGAAACAAGTGCTCAAAAGCAAGCAGTGCGATTGGTTGATGAGATGGATGAGAGCTGAGAGACACCTGTGCAAACACAGGTGCTGCTGATGGTGTGGGTGGGCACTAGGAGCAGTTACTGGCCTGCTGGCAGTTCAAAAGGAGACTTCCCCGAGCTGAGTGCACGGTGTATGTGCCTGCCTGGGATTTATCTCCAACATTTCTCCCACTTGGATAGCATCAGGAACCCATCCCCATCATCCTGGGTGCCTTCACCAGCACATCATCTGCCTGGACACCATCCCCAGCCTGTCTCCTGCTTGCTGAGGTATGTACCATCCCCACTGTTCGGGCCACTATCCCCACCATCTTGGGTGCCAGGCTATGCACCATCCCAAGCACCGACCCTTCCACCCTGGGCACATCCCTCCCCTCTCATACCTGCACTTGCAGGAGTGCCTCGTTGGCAGCGGCCAGCAGTGTCCTGGAGCAGTTGAGTCCCTTGGTCAGGTTGTGGGCAGGAGGAGGAGGCAGCGCCCACGTGGATGGCAGCAGGAGGCAGAGCAAAGCCGGCAGCACCCAGTGCCCGACCCTCAGCCATGCTGCCCTGCTCCTGATGCTGTGCTCTGCCATGCCTCTGCCCGATGAAACTGATATGGGATCGGTGGCTGCTGCAGGGGCTGCGCTGCTTTTATGTCGGTGGAGGAGCAGGAGTTCCCCTTTTTCTTTGTATTGGTGTCTCGGGGAGCTGAGAGCTGGGAATCCCGCGGGGTCCTGGCATTGGGGCAGTGTGGGGACAGGAGGGGGTGGGGCTGCCCTTCAGTGCTTGAAAGGAGCCTCTGCCAGCGCTTAAAGGGAACGTACAAAAAGATGGGGAGAGACTTTTTATGCTGTCTGGTAACTATGAACAGGGGGGTGGCTTTAAAGGGAGAACAGGGGTGTTTAAAGCATGTGTCTGACACGTTAATTAAGCTTTCCATTTCTAAGCTTTACTCTGATAATGATGAGATGCTGTTGATAGCAGTGCATATAAGCCAACTGGAAGCCTGCCTTGGTGGGTTTGGGGCACCAAGAATTCATTAGCTCGTGCTGTACGTGACGGCCGCCCACCCTGCCCTGCCAAGGGGCCCGGGAGAACTTTCCATGAAGTCAGTGGGAGTTTTCCTGTGCACTTAGAAAGCAACAGGATGAATCAAGGGCTTTCTTTATATTGAATTTTCAGATTCATTTTATTTTAATGAGCATCTTATTTCCCCTAAGAAGGCGGTATGTGTCAGAAGATGCTTTGCCTGAACACTGGTGTATGACTGTCTAGTTTGACTGTGTTTTCCACTGCTGTGCCTGATGTTGTTGAGCTGAAGGCTGAGCTTTTGCCTTTAGAATCTCTAAGGCTGGAAAAGACCTCTCAGCTCCCCAACCCCTCCTCCACAGTGCCTATATCCACATCCCCGGGTGCCACATCCCCACAGTTCTGAGCACCTCCAGGGATGGTGACCCCTCTGCTCCCTGGGCAGCTGTCCCAGTGCCTGACCAGATGTGTTGCTCCAAATGATGGTTTTCAAATAGCCTCATTTGTGCCATTTTCTGAGCTCCCTGCCCTCCTGCAACCGACTGCACACGGCATCCTGCTGGGAACGCAGGGAATGTTGCCTTTAGGTTTGGCTCAAAGCAAAGCACAAGGCGTTAGGGTCTAGCAATGAGAACATTCCTGCATCAGCTGCATCAAAAAATGAAAGGAAGTTCTTTAAAACAGGAAAGCCCATGTGCTTTTTGTTACGTAGTATGTCTTAGTCTCAGATGCTGATCTCATCAGGCAGAAGAAGGATTATAGAGGAGGGATGCCACTTGTGCTGTTAAAGCAGTGCAGGGTTCTCTCCTTTATGCACTTGTGCAGTTCTACTATGCCGTTCTGGGTCTGTAGCCCTGCAGTGGGGTTGCAGTTAAGGCAACTGGATGGTGCTCCTCCTTGGTGGTTCCAGTAACAGTGGGTGGCAGTGGCACTGACACTTGCTGGCCAGGCTGGCTTGCTCTCTCCCTTCCTACGAGCTGAATCCCAGAGCCCTGTGTGGATGTTGTGCTGTGTGTGGGCATATCCTCAGCTGGAAGAGAGGGGTTGTTTGTATGAAGGCACTATTTCTTGTAATTATAATTACGTATAATTGTGTAATAATTATGTATGTATCTATAATTATGCATTAATTACTATATATATATATATAGTAAAGCTGTGATAAATTAAATCACAGCTAAGCTTAAAAGTAGATCACAGCTACGTAAAAAGATCTAGATGAGGGGGAATGGCTTTAAACTAAAATATGGGAGGTTTAGGTCAGATGTTAGGAAAAAATTCTTTACCAGAGGATGGTGAGGCACTGCCAGCCATCCCAGGGGGTGCTCAGGATGGGGCTGGATGGGGCTGGGGGCAGCCAGCACGCAGCAGGGGTTGCGAATGGGTGATGCCTGTGGCCCCTTCCACCCCAATCCTTTCTATGGTTCTGTGTTCTGCAAAGTGCTGCAGTGAGAAATGCTTGCATTGAATAATTGGTGTTTTTCTCCCAGCTCCAAGAATACGTGGAGGCTTTCTCTCATGGATAGTTTGTTTATTTTATTTTATTTTTGCTCCTGGGAGGAAGTTTTTCACACAGAGGGTGGTGAGGCACTGGCACAGGTTGCCCAAGGAGGCTGTGGATGCCCCATCCCTGCGGGCATTCAGGGCCAGGCTGGATGTGGCTCTGGGCAGCCTGGGCTGCTGGTTGGTGACCTGCACACAGCAGGGGGTTGGAGCTGGATGAGCACTGTGCTCCTTTGCAACCCAGGCCATTCTAGGATTCTGGGTAATTTATTTGGAAGGTTCCTATTCAGATAGCTGATCCCTGCAGCTCTGCTGGCAGTGAGCACCATGCAGACACAGGTGCTCCTGGTGGATTTGGACAAGTGACTGCAGGTGTGTGAGGAGGAGGGCTGCTCTGTGAGCAGAAAATGGGAAGGGCTGGGGATGGAGGTGAGCCTGCTCTGAGCCTGGGGCTTTTGGCTTAATGCTGAAGCCAACAGCTAGAGGGGTGCATCACTGCCTGGCTGGCAGGAAGCGGCTGGTGCTGGCTCTGCACAGTTTCTGCTCTCTGGGTGTCTTTTTCCTTCCCATTCAAATCCCTTTTTCTCTGTCTCTCCTAGGTTCTGTGGCCCTGAACTGCCAGATGGGGTGGTTTTAACCACTGAGAGGGGCGAACACAGCTGTATGGCTGGGCATACAGAAACGTGGCCTTGCACACATCAGGCACAAACACTGCTGCTGGGATGCCTCATCCCCTTATGAGAGGTAAGTGTGGGCATGAATAAAGAGATGGGATGGAGCTGGCACCTGGGGCAGCCCCGACACCCACATCTGGCAGCTGCCTGGAAACGCCTGCTGTTGCTGGCCTGGCTGATCCACACGAAACTCTGCAATTCCCTTTTTTTATAAACTTGCTGTGTATTTCACTTTTCTTCTGAAGATGTGCTCCTTCCCCTAAAGCACTGCTGTTAGGAAGCCAGGGGCGAGGTGAGCGTGGTGGCAGCCATCCCTGCTGGCTGTCCATCCATCCATAGGGCCGCTGGTGACAGCAGAGCTCGAGGTGAGCTCGGCACATCTGGCAAAGGAACCAGCAGAACCAGCTCAGTGCTGAGAAGAGAGCCCAGCTCCCAGCCCAGCAGCGGGGTCCCGCACGCGTGGGTTTCGCTCTGCTTTACAATAAGGAGGAAGAGAAACTCCTTGCTCTGGGCTCCTGCAGGGAAGCGAGCTCCGAATGTCAGCACAGGCGCTGGCTTTTCCTTGGGGATGCCCTCTGTGCTGCTCCTCCTGGGACCCCGTGGCACGTAGCTGTCCTGAACCCTGCCATCCTTTCCCTTTGAGCAATGGAGGGATGAAAGCCGAAGGAAGGTTGTGTGTGTGTGTGTGTGTGTGTGTGTGTGTGTGTGTGTGTGTGTGTGTGTGTGTGTGTGTGTTGTGCTGCAGTTCTCCATGCTTTCCCCCACAAGTTCCCCCAGTGCTCAGGGAAATGCTGTGCAGCAAGTGCTGCTTGGGCGATGCAAAGAAAAGGGAGAAAAAAGGGGAACCCAATAAAATGTGCCTGGCAGGAAGCTTCTGTCTTACAAAGCACATCTCTGCCCTAAGGGCTGCTTTATCTTCACAGGGAAGTTATCCCTGCAGCTGTCTGAAACATGATGTTTATTTATTTATTTTTTTTTTCCCCTACTGTTATTGTGTGTATCATTGAATGCTCTCAAACACAAGTGAGTCCGAGTCCAAAAGAGGGAATTAAAAAGGAAAAAACAAAGTTTTATTGTGACACCAAATGGAGGCAGGGGAGAAAAAGGCAGCAGGTTGTCTCTTTCTGGTAGGGTTCAGGGAGGAAAGGTTGAAGGGGAAAGCAGGAGAAGGATGGGACACAGGCAGGTCCTTACCTGCACAACTATTGCCTTAGCATTAAAGATAAAGAAACAAAAAAACCACAACAACTTGCCATGGCACTGCTACCCAGAGCTGGGAGTGTCCCATCCCTGGGTGCTCAGGGCTGGGCTGTATGGGGCATTGGGCAGCCTAAGCTGGGGGTGCCCCCAGCCCATAGAAGGATGGTGGAAACAGATGATCTTCAAGGTCCCTTCCACACCAAGCCATTCTATGGGTCTGTGATCCTATGTATGTCAGTAACTACAAAGCAGGCTCTGAAACTCTGTTTCCCAGTCTAAGCTGCTGATGCCCAAGGGAGCGCAGGGCTGGCATGGAGACACTCATAGAACAGAAACAAATGGCAGCTGTGTAGCATCTGCCTCTTTCCATGCACGTGGAACTTAACAAATTGCATTAAGTGGCTTATCACAAAAACTGTTTTATTTCTCCTGGTGGAGCTGGGGTCTGTGCCATTCTGGGTGTCCCTATGAGCTGTTTTGGGCACTTTGGCGTGGGCTGCTAGCTGCCCGTATCCTGGTGAGTGATGCTCTCAACAGAAACTGCTTCTGACTGCTTGTTCTGATGTCAGCCCCTGAAATGAAACTGTCTTACCCAGAGCTTATGGGGAATTTGGCTCCACAGTTACGGTACTGATAATGGGAGTCCTAAGTGGAACCATGTAAATGATCCATTCGTAGAAGGAAAACGACAAAAATAAAAGCTAATGCAGAATAAAAGCAAAACATCTCCTGGAGCCTCTATGCTCCAGAAAAGAAGCCACTGCCTCAAGGCCAAAGGAGTGGGACAGCTCTGGGGGACAGAACACATCTTGTGGGGAATCATAGAATGGCTTGGGATGGAAGGGACCTCAAGGATCATCAAGCTCCAACCCAACTGCCACAGCCAGGGCCACCAACCTGCAGATCTAATACTAGACCAGGCTGCCCAGGGCCCCATCCAACCTGGCCTTGAACACCTTCAGGGTGTTTAAACCTCATCAGCTTAGCCTCACTGAGCATCTTTGTGTTTCAGCCCAAAGTCAAGCTGTCTGCTTCAAGGGCTGCTTGTAGGCACATCAGTGTAGAGATGCCCTGATGTGCTGACAGAGGCAATACCTTCCATCCCCCCTCCTTTCTGAGGATGGGGCACATCCCCAAACGTTGGCATGATCTTGGTGCCAGGGCCAGGCTCTGTGAGAGGGCCCAGTTCAAAAACCACACAAGGCACATTTCTTTCAAAAACATCATTTAATCCATTCATTCCACAGCATTGCCATCGTACACACCTGCATGACACTGTAGTACACTGGACAGAGATCTAAGATGCAATTACCCAGCAATACTATATATATATTTTAAATTACTAACTTATTTTTTAGTTAAAAAATCAAACCCTTGAAGATGGACACTCCACTGGCTGTCCTGGTGCTGGGTGCCCACAGGCCTGCTCCCTCCAGAGAATTAAAGGCACTTATCAGTGAGCAGAGCAGCCCACCCCTCCTGCTGAGCATCTCTGCAGTGGGGCTTCAGGCTGAGCCCCCCCCATCTGCACCCCATGGGGGGTTGGCCTCACAGGTGAAAGCACAGCGCAGGAATACAACAGCAGCAGCTAGCTATCACTGCATGCAGGTACAGCAGCAAGACAACAGGAGATACTGACAAGTGAACACCCCCACTATTATATATATTTATATATATATTTTCTGCATAGATTCCAAAAAAAGCAAATTAAATAAGAGGAGTTTCCATTGCAGGTGAGCACAAGGCGCTCCCACCTGAGCCAGCCTTTGCTACTGGAGCAGCACAACGTGGCAAAATGGCCCCAAAGTGCCCCAAAATGCTGCGAAATGCCAAGAGAGCTCTCAGCACCTGGCCTGCTTCAGGGGAAGGAGGGCAGAACAACAATAAGTAAGTGTCAGTTTAATAAAATACATTCGTGGTGGGGGGATGGAATTTGGATGCGTCTCATGCTTTGCTGCAGACACCCTGAATAAGTCATCAGCCGAGTGCTTTGCTAAGGGCAATCTGTCATGGGGCTGGGGGGAATGAAAATGTGGAAGGCAAAGGTCCCTGCTCCTGGGAGCAGAGCAGGGCAGGGACACAGTGCCCACAGAGCAGGGCACAGCCCCAAGGCAGGGGGGAGCTGCTGCCATATTGCATACATTTCAGATGCTGCTGAAGATTTTTAACATAGATTCTTCTTTCTCTAAACTTCTGACACGGGGGAGTCATTGAGCTATTCAGCATGGATAATAAAATATAGAAACATCTATGTGTGTGCCTGGGCCTAACAACAGTCACAATATTAGGGCCTGCTGAATGCTAGTATAGAAGAATAGCTGAAGCCCGTGTCATACATACATGATGAGCTTACAGGTAAGTAGCTGTACAACAGTCCTGTCTTCTCTGCACAACTGTACGTGCTTGGCTCTTTTTGGTGATGACAAAGGAGGCATTGCACACTGAGTTGGCTGAGTACATCACCGAGTCAACCACCGGCCAACAAAAAGACGTGTCATATGAAACAAGTTTTTAAATGTTTATTTTACATCTTTATACATAAAACTTTCCAGGTAACTCTTTGAAACCCAACTCAATGTTAATAGCACATCTAAAAATGAACGTCAGGTAGTCAACATTCACAAAATGTTGAAAACTGATTAAAATGTACATATTACCGAAGGTTACGACGTCACTACGAGGCAGGCATGTCTTTTGGACTTGTATAGCACCGTCAAGTACAGTCTCTTTATTTAAAACTACAGTGAAGAATAAAAAAGTAGTCAATGGTAAAATATCGTCCAACGTAAAACCTCTAAGCAAACAAAAATAAAGTTAAACTGCCCTCTCTCCTCAGCCATGTTTTATAACGTTATAAGTACTGTACATCTTTCTGTAATAATATTATTAAAACGCCTGATATTGAGTGGCACGAGTAAAAAAAGAAAAAAAATAATTAAAATAAATTAAGAAGCGGAGGCCAATCACCGGACATAAAGCTTCGGACACGACCAAGGACTAACACTGATTTGCTGCGCGCCACTGAGGACATCAGCACGTGTACAGACACAGAAGCGAGGGACAGGCGAGCTCCATCTCTGCTGCCACAGACTCTGGGGTTACTTTGCTGGCATCTTCTCTGCCATGTGCTTCTGCTGGCTCTCGGCATGTCTGGGAAGGAGCAGCCTGGTTATGCGTTGGCAAAAGCATGGAGGTGGGGTAGTGGGACTCTGTATGCTCACGTCTCCTCCCAGATCCTGCTCTTGTGGGATTGAGGTCACCCACAGCCCAATCCCACCGACCTCCCATGCTACCCGCATCTCACCGCGGTGGTGACATCCCCATCACCTCCTGCCACCAATGGGGTTAAGCCATAGGGCTGCTGCATGGACACAGCCCGTTTTTCTGCTGGCTTGGTGGCTTCCAAAGGCTGACAGTGGGGGCAAATGGCCCCTGGACCCCTCCCTCACCTGGTCAGGTCCTCGATGTCCACCAGCATCGCATCCTGCTCCGTGTGCAGCTCATCCCGGATGAGCAGCAGCTGCACCAGCTCCTCGTTCAAGCCTGGGGCCGGAGAGAGAGGAGGAGAGTTCGCGCTGAGCAGGGGGAGGTTTGCAAGGAGAGGAATTTTGCAGTGCTTCAGCCACAGGCATGAGCAGCTCCACATCCCTAGCAGGAGCTGCCAGGAGGGACGGTAATTAACGAACGCGAGCAGTTACAGAGTTGCAGAGCAGCCCAATGAACGTGTTGGGGCTATTTTTGTCCTACAGCCACCTGAGACATTTCCTTTAAGATTAATTAATCATTGATAAGGGAAGGTGGAGATGCAGGGGAATAACCCTGGCTTCTTTGGAGAGAGCAAAGACAGACAAGGAGGCAAACGCAAGGATACGTGAGCCATGTTAATGTGCTGCAAGACAGAACATATGAACTCAGTGGTGTCTATTGGACCAGAGGGCTTCTCCACTTCTGGATGCTGCTGAGGCCATGCAGAGCATCGTATCAAAACACAGCCATAAGGCTGCATGAAGCCACAAAACTGGCAGTATTTCTGGCTGCTTTTAGAGGCTGAAGCAATGCTACCTTACTGAATGCCTTCTGAATGCTTGATGGATAAAAAGAAAGCAAAAAGCCAAAGGAGCCAGACCTAGCAAACAGCCCACCTCCAGCAGCTCTCCTCTATGGTTCCATTCCTGTACATTTATCAGCGTTTTTACATATATAAAATATATATATATCCTGAAGTAGACGGTGCTTACTGAAGAATAATTAAACAAAGACCACTTACTTTCTATCTGTGAGTGAAGATCATTGACTATCACTTGTAGCTGCCCAATTGTCATGTCTCTTAGGTCGGCGGGTTTTAAGTTCCTTTTCATCAGGCATTCGCTTATATGAGGCATATGTGGGAGCTGGAAATGAATTTTCATCTGTTTAATTCTTTTTCTCTGAATTACCCATATTTCTGCACAGCACCAGTTTGCCCAGACACATCCCCCCCTGCAAACACCCATTTGTGGCTACACTGAGACTACCAAAGCATCTGCCAGGGCTCGGTGCAGGCCTTCAGCCTCAGCTTGGAGGTCGTAACACAGCACTGAGCTCCATGCTTCCCCCTCTCCTCTCCTGCTCCCATAACACCCAGGGCATAGGGATGAAGGGCCATTGCATCGGCCAGCACTCACCAGATCCGCCACCGGAGATTTCTTCCTGTTCTGCTTCTCCACCTCCACCTGCATTTTGGCCATGGGCTTTGCCATAGCCAAGGCCATTTTGGCTTCAGCTTGGAGTTTCTTTTGCCTGGTGAGAAAATCCATGTCATCGAGGGACTCGGACTCCTCCTCGGTCGTGTCTCTGTCGGAGTAGGAAGAGCTCTGCTTGCTCTAGGGAAGCAGACACGCACCGTTACAGCCCGGCACCGCCGCCGCGGGGACAGAGCAGAGGAGCTGACCTGCAGCTTCACACCCTCTGCATGCACACAGAGGGGTTCATTTCTACAGGCAAGGTGAAGATTACAGGGTTGGCTGGCTTTTTTTTTTTTTTTTTTTTTTTTAAATCAAACTCATTTCTTGATTGGCTCTTCTGAGTATTAGCAGCCACTTGAGCACTTTAGATGGAGCCAAACAGATCGATAAGTGCCTAATGGACAAGCTGGTTAAGCTGGAGGAAAGCCCACCACGGGTCTGGGGCCTCTGTGCTGTATCCATGAAGGAAAAAAGGAGTGGAGAGCTGATAGGAGCCGACACCACTCTGCACCCATTACTGCTCTGACAGAGCACAGAGAAAGGAAGGGCAGGAGAAGGGCACTGTCCCTTGAGTGCAACCCCCCTTCTGCAGCGGGTCTGTCCTGTAATAGCAATGTGCCAGCTGCTCTGGGCTTCAGTGCCTCAGCAGTTCTCATTATGGCCCGTGTGCTCTGTGAGATGAGCCACCAGACCTACCATGGGTGACAAAGGTGTGTCCAGGCTGGTTTCTGTCTTGCTGTCATCAGCATCGCTGTCCTTATCACTGCCACTGTCGTTCACAAAACAGATCTGCAGGTTCATCCCGCTCTGGAGTCTGCAGGGAGGAGAGGTGACAATGGGGATGGGCTGTATGCAATGGCAGATCTGTGATGCACAACACTCTGCTTGGCCTCATTGGCCCCACGGGCAGCAGCACCCAGTGCCTGGGTCGGAGGTGACAATTCCCACATAGCATTAGGAAGTGACAGCTCAGACTGAAAACTCATCAGCTCCACCATGACAGTGCCTCTACCACCATCTACTGCTGAACGGCAGAAATACCCACAACACTGCAGAGCTTCGTCATCGCGGCCATGAAACTCCGTGTGCTGACCAAAAGGATTTACTGAGGGCTGTCCCAAAGCTGCTTGTGGCACTATGGCATCTCATGGGCACTCCTCAGCAGAGCCCTGCCCAGCTTTTGCTCCACCACGTGCTGTCCATGCTAAGTACTGGCGTGCAATGAGGGAGAGGAGCAGCACAGCTCTGAGCATGGTGCGATGCAGGTTTGCAGCAGGGCTCCTTGCCTCTCACATTGCACTCCTTTTTCTATATTCAAGTTCCAAATGATCCTTTGGGGGCAGCTCTGTTACCTTTCCTGTGCTCCATCACCACGTGTCCACGCTGGGAGAGGCCCATACATAGACAAGCTCTGCAATAAGGGGGCTTATATTGGTCCTCACACCAAACTTTCCACTTATTTTAGTGGTATTTTTTTAATTCATTATTGCTATACAACAGATAGCATTAACACATGAGCTTTGGAGCCAGGCTCAGTGAACACAGCGCCCAGGTTGGGGAGCAGGACACAGCTTTTGCTTGGCTTCAAACTGCATTATGCAGAAAGGGAAAAGTAAGTGCAAATCAGGGTCTGTGGGACACCTGCATTTCAAGAGCATGACCGAAATGCCTGACCCACACTCATCCTAACAGAGAGGCAGACGAGGCACCTCTGGGAGCACCAGAGTATTAGAAACGGAGGATGCTGACTGCATTGTAAAAATCCTGGATTAAAATGGTGCACAGCTGGGAAAGCAGCGACCGGCCTCGAAAGGAATCCAGGAAACATCCTGTGGGACACAGCTGGACGTGGAGCCCTTCCCTGTGAGCAAGCACCAGCTGTTCACAGTGACAGCAAGCACAGGCTGCAGCAGCCCAGCTCTCCCACTGCCTCCTCCACGGCCCCGTGTGATGAGCATGGAACCCCTGACTCAATATGCAGTGTGCTCTGCTGCAAAAAAAAAGGATGCAACAGCACAAGGAAGCATCCTGTGCTTGCCCTCAGGGCCCTGGGACAAGAAGACTGGGAGCACTGTGGTGTAACTGGATGTCCTGACCCATGCAGTGCATACCAGTGCTCTGTCTGGACTATAAATACAAACAAAATGCTGCAGCATCCAGGTACATCTGGTGTTTTCTCATGGTATGGCTGCCCAGCCCTGCTGCAGGATGTTAATTAGTCCTGCCCTGTAATTACAAGACAGCAGTTACCACTCGAGCTGTAACCACACAGAGCACAACTTTCCTTTTCAGATGCACTGTGGTTCAGTTGCATTTTACAGTCTCACCTCCATGCTGCCCTAGTAGGATTCCCCCTGGTCTTATGCTTCTCCCAGGTTTCTTCCTCCCTGCCCCACATCTGCCCACAGCACAGAAGGCACTCGAGCTACCCAGGATCCACCCTGGCTGCTCAGTGCAGCGTGAAACACGCAACCAACAGAGCCCAACTGGTGACCAGCATGAAACAGGTGGCCACCTCTTGAACCACCGGAGGAAGATGCTCTTTCACAAACCAACAGTTCTGTTTTTAACCAGCTTTCATAGGATCACAGAACAGTTTGTGTTGCAAGGGACCTCTGAAAGCCATCGGTCCCACTGCCCACAATGCACAGGGACACCCAAACTCCATCAGTGCTCAGAGCCCAGCCCTCACTGTGGGTGCCTGGAGGGACTGGGCACCCACCCCTCTGGGCAGGCTGTTCCCAAGGCACTTGGGTTTGTTGAACCTCATGAGGTTTTCCTGGGCCCCGTCATTCACCTCGCTAACCCAGCAATAAGACCAAGCTCTCTGCTGCTTTGGATGTGCAAATTTCAACAGGAATTCAGACACACAACTCCTTGGCCAACCCCACCAAGCAGCCCTGCGTACCTGGAGGACAGGCTGGGCTTGCCGCTCTTACTGCAGCCGGTGTAGAGCCCTGGGCCATCGTCGAAGAAGCTGCCAAGAGCCAACTTCTGCCTGATGGACTCACGCTCATTCTTCTGAGCCTGCAGGGGAAGGAATGCAGGAGAGGTGCCATCAAATTACCAAGGCTTGAAGAATGCATTCACAGAGAGGCGTTTTTTTGAGTAAGGTTAGGCTATGGGATGGATTGGAACGGGTCACCGATCCACGGCTGTGCAGTCAGTGTGTAATAAATGAGAATCACAGATCTGTACCCCAAATCAACAGCAGTTACTGCGCTGGTGTCTGTCGGCAATGGATGACAGGAAGGGAAAGTAAGGGCAGAAGGAACATTTGGAAGCCCTCAAACATTTCATTTTAAAGTAACATGTAACAGCTGATCAGGAATACAGCAAATGAATATGTACCATCAAAAGAAAATGTACCAGGCAGCATCCACAGCACTAACATAGCCCAGTGCCTCAAATTCTGCCTAAACAACGCACCTTTATCTGACAGAGGGAAGTGACAAATAATGAAATGTAAATTATTAACGTAAAATAGCTAATCATTTAATCTAACCCCAGTGCTGACAACCTACATTACAGCATCGCGCTGCCCATTATGTTGTCAATCTCTTACCAAAATACATACTTTATTTGTAATCTAACTGCTTTGCCACTGCTACAAATAATTCAGAGCAATGAAAACAACGCCCAGAGCATCGAGGGGCATTGAATTTTCAAGTTGTTCCCTGTTTTCTTTTTGTATATTATTTATTGCTGATGCTCCTGGCCTGGTAGCACACCACCCCTTTGGGAATGCAGGAAAGGAGCCACTATTTTGAAGAGCAGGCCAAAATGAGATGAAGCAGTGACACAAAACCCAAGGAAAACAATTTTTGTGCCACTCACTGCACTCCTGAGCATTGCTGCCACACTGGGCATGTGATGGGTGAAATAGATGGAAGAAACACCAGTAAATGTCCATGGTGCACCTTTCCCTCTTAAGAAAAAAATCACAGAATCATATGGTTATGATGGTTATCGTATTAATGGTTGGGTTGGAAGGCACCTCCAGCATCACCCAGTTCCAACCTCCCTGCTGTGGGCTGGGTGCCCCCACCAGATCAAGCTGCCCACGTTTCTATCCAGCTTGGCCTCCAACACCTCCATGTTGGAGCCCTTCTCTGCCAGGGGCCGACCTCCGAGCTCAGCTGCCTCCAAGCACCAGATGGGCACATCCCCACAGCACCTTCGTATCTCATGATACCATGGATGCTTCTCTTCCCATCCAGAGGACCCCTTCCATCCCATCTCCGTGCCCAGACATTTCCATCTCCCACCAGAAGCCAGGGGCTGCAGCACAGGGCCGTGCATTCCCTGCACACCAGCCCTACCTCCAACACGTGCTGAAAATCACTCCACATTAAAACTCACACGAATGCAGACTGCTCCCGCATGTTTTCCCTTATAGATGGAGCTCTCTCCACACCCGTTGTAATTTTGTTCCACGTCCCACTGCGGCTGCAGCTGCTCCCAGTCTGACATCTGTACATTTAATCAATGTGCCATTTGTCTGCTCCACCAGGCCATTACCAGGGATACGAAATAATGCTATTCCCAGTTCTGAGCTCAGCACATCCCATCTTATAGAACAGACCCAGCGTAATGACCGTAAAGAAACGGAGAGTCCTATTTGTTATGATAAAATAGGGAACAGTTACTAAGAAATAGAATATACCTAAGGGAACCAGACTTTATGCTGTAGATAAATTACCCGCCAGCTGCTCGATGCATCCTGAGCCGGGCACTGAAAACTGGAAATTGAGAAGGAAAATTGCATGTGGTTTTTCTGACTATCAAATATACTCCGTTGTATATAAATAATAATGCATGGAATAAAAAGTAAAGGTACTAGCAAGGAAAATGTAAAACCATGTTATATTTAAATGTGCATTTTGACATCGCATCCCTCAGCTCTGCCCCGGCATCAGCTGGGCAGTGAGCCTCCTCAGGGGGTTAAAAAACAACAGAATAATTAAAAAAAAACGATTGGGTTGATAAACAGGAAAAAGACCTGGAAAAGATTTAAAAAAAAAACCCTGAAAAGTTGTGAATTGATGAAGATTCATGCATTATAAAGGGCAGCGCTCTGGGACTCTTGTTTGGAGGACACAAGCTTGGGATCCCCGTGTCATGCTGTGTGGGCCCTTTCTTGGCCATCCCAATGCTATGGTCGGGGCTGCTTGGCCCACTGGCTGCTCACACCGCTGGCAGCAGCGCCCACATTGCTGCCTGACCCACTTTATCTCCTACTGACCTATTTTGTCATCTATTTCCTTCTGCATATACACAACACTGGGTGAGCAAGGAACTGTTCAATCCTTGGTCTGTACGGACACTTGCCATCCACGAGGCATACTGGTCTACCACAAAAAGCCTCTCTTTGGCCAACACCCCTAATTTGCCCCACTGATACTTCATCCCCACGCAATCCCCATCCGTCAGGCTGTCCCCTGCTGACCTGTGCATGGATGGGAACCACGAGATTTCTGCTGATTTCTGACAAATGAGAAGAGCCCCCAGCGCATCGCCCACGCCGTATTATTGGTGTCACTGGAGAATTAAGAGCTGGGCTGCTCCACTCACCCGCTCTGCATGCAGGACGCGGTATTAGCAGCCTTTATGCATTACAGACGTCACCCAGAAGAGCAAATAAAAGTGCACATCAAATATTTATCTGCAACTCAGGTGCCGCAGCAATCTCCCAGGCTCCGCGTTGCACTTTGGAACCATCCAACATTAACAGCCCTCCATTAACAGCGGACGACAGCGACATTTCTGGAGCTGTACTGATCGATACCAAGGGCTGAGCAGCAGGCATGGCTGGTCTGTGTGCCGCCCAGAGTGCTTGGGAGGGAACAGCACAACAAATTCACAGAACCATTAGGTTTGGAAAAGACCTCCGAGATCCCCAACCCAACTGCAGCCCACCCCACCGTGCCCACAGCTCTCAGTGCCACATCCCCCCGGCTCTGAGCACCCCATAAGGGATGGTGACCCCACAACTCCCTGGACAGCTGTGCCACCGCCCGATTACTCATACAGAGAAGAATTTGTTCCTAATATCAATTTGGTGCAACTTAAGGCCATCACCTCTTGTCCAAGAACTGCAGGTAAATGAATGCCTGGAGGGCAGTGCTGCTCCCATCCAGCCGAGGGGTTAAAGCCTATGGGGGCCATCAGGGGACATCGCCCCACTGCTGTGGAGCTGCCTGGTCCCTGCAGGCTATTTTTGCCAGGGACTGTCATTACCAGCCACGGACAATTACTATATTTAAAGTCCCAGACCCGTACACAGCACCCTTTTTTACTTCTGTGCAGTACAAAGGCTATGATTGGATTCACCAGCAGAAATTATAATTATGCAACACTTGTTTTTGTATGGCCGGATTTGCTAGAAAAACACAAAATGCTCATCATCTCTCAAGCCATGTGGCACGGAGCCCAAGAAATGCCAGCTCTCCTGGTCTGAGGAGGTGTCTAGGAACGCCCCCGGGGACAAGCTGTGACGAGGACACACAGAGGGGACAGTTCTGCCACATCACACCAGGGAGAGGGCATCTGTGGTTAAAGGCAGCGGTGGGGCACGAGCATCCAGCACAAAGTGACCACGCGTGCAGCCCCATGCGTGCAGCCCCACTGTGCAGCCCCATGCCCGACACGGAGTTCTGAGCAGGTCTGCCCTCTCTGCAGCCCTGTACGTGCAGCCCCACGCCCCGTGCGCCGCCTGGCAGCGCCCATCCATGCGGAGCACGCCGACAAAAGGCCCCTTTTTGTCTCCTACCTTTTTATAATTCCCCTCCACATCCCGCGCGGATGCCTGCCCGATGATGTCACCCATTCCATCACCAGCCCCGCTCATGGCCCCGTTCCCCGGCTGCTCCCCGTGGGCACATCTCCGCTCGCCGCGGCCGTGGCACTGGGATCGCCGCTCGCTGCTCCCCGCGGGCGCAGGCCTTGCCCTAATAAAGTCAAAGCTGCGGGCAGGCAGCAGAGCGGGACCGGGAGAGGAAAGCTGAGGGCTTCCTGCAGCCACTGGCAGCGCCGGGTAAAAATAGCCCCAAGTGCTGCACAAGGGCAGGAAAAATCCCGGTGTCTGATGTCAGAGCCACAACCTCCGACAGTGAAGTGATTGCAAAGCGGAGCTCGCCTCCGATATCAGCTTCCCTAGAGAGCTGCTGCTGGGCTCTCGGAGTTTTTTCGGGTTCCTAGGAAGTAACCAACAGGACCCAAGTGGTATTTAATGCACAGCTCAGACCCCACCGCCCTCCCCAAGCACTCACAGGGCAGCAGCCCTTATCTCCCCCAGCCAGAAGCTCAGGGACCATGCAGGGGATCCTCCAGGCTATGGGGTTTGCGTCCTGTTGGGCCAATGCAGCACATCAACAGCAGCACTGCTCCTCGGTGTGGCAGAGGAATGCCCTCAGCAACCCCACAGTGACAGATCCCAGTGCCACCACTCCTCTTTTCAAAGGCACATTGGCTTGAGTTTGCTGGCTCCGATCACCCACAGGTTAACCACCACGACATTACCCCATCCTGAAGTTTCAGGGGGGAAATAATAACAGCAGCAGTACGGGGCACCACTTAATCCCATTGCTTTCCCAGGACACGCAGCTCTCTGCATGCCTCATTCTTTCTGCTTCCCCTCCACCGCTGACTCACTGTGTCATTTCCCAGTGCTGCTAAATTTAACCTCCCCCGCTGACAATGGGGTCCCTGAGTTGGCAGTGATAACATCTCCAGTTCTCAGCCCAGCTCTGTGCACAACACAATGCTGCTGCACGCACCGGCCCTCCGTCTCTTCAAGGAAAGGGTTTCTGTTTTTAAACACTGCGAATGCTCAGACGTCGCAGACTCGCTGTTAGGGTTGGGGAAGACCTTTCAGATGCCCGACTGACAGCCCGCCACCTTTGTGCTCAGGATCTCCCCCAAGACACAGCAGGGGTTGCAATGGGCCCCTGGGTTCTGCCCTGCAGATATGTGGTGGAATGGGAGGGGATGGGAGAGATCTCCTCCAGGTCAGAGGATCACAGAAC